ACACAAACGAATCAAAAGAGCCTTCGACGGCGCTCGAAAGCAATTGCTATATAACGACCATCTTAAAGCTGTATGCACTTTAGTCCGCAACGCTCGTTAATTAAGCGTTATTTTAAAGAACTGCACTTTTAACGCTTACGCTATCTAAGTCATTAACTATTATATTATTGCTTACGTCGCTTTTTAAAAAACTATAGCTAATATAGCTCGAAGACGCAAGTTCATTAAGCTTAATGCTACGGTAATCAACCTCACTTACTAAACCGTAAAAGACAAGAACAATATTAAGTAAAAGGATAAGATCGCTATTTCTAACGAAAGACTTTTAAAAAAGCTAAGATTAAAGGTTTTATTATATAGCTTATTGATTTTAGCTCTTGATAATATTGAAAGCGAATACGACGAACTTGAAAAACGTATAAAGTTTACCGACGAGAATCAAACTTAGAATTTCGTTTTACAAAAAGAACCCGAATTCGAAATTCTATTCGTAAATTATAATTTACGAGTAAAAGATAACTTAACAATCGAAACGAGATCAAGTCAACCTTTTGCGCTTAAGACCTTTTTGCTTAAATCATTTATTATACGCTTTTCGCTATCATTAACTTTGTCTTAAAGATCGACGTTATCCTTTGTTAATAAGCCTTCGAACGCTAAACTAGTTGCTTCAATTATATCTACTTTACGCAAGTCTACCGACGCGAGCTCTTTTCTAACCTTTAAACCTAAAGTGCAACGCGACCCTCTCGAGAACTAATTGTTATTAACACTACTCGTTAAAAAAGAAGACAGCCTCGAGTACGAACTAGCTAAAGCTATATCAAACCGCTGTTTCGGACTTATCGAGATTAAAGACTTTATAAGTATAAACGTAGCTTTTATTAACTTTTACTAAGACTTTTATTAATCAGCCTTCGACCGCTTAAACTTAAACGAAAACATCGATAATGCTTTTCAAGTTGCCGCAGAATCAATTAAGAAGGCTATTAGCTAGATCCGTAAGCTTTTAAAAGACGAATTTTCTAATAACGCGATCTTACGACTTTTCGATCGTCGTAGCTAAATAAAAGTAAGTAAAGAAAGAAGCAAAGTAATAAACTACTTCTTGCTGTCCGAGATCTTTAATTTAAGCTTTAACGACGACGATTGCGATTGCATAAAGGTTTTTTAAGAAGTGAAAAACGTATTAAAATTTAAAAATAGATTTAAAGAACTCTTTAACTTAGACGTCTAGACGAAGCTCCGCTTTAACCGCAAAGTCTTACCGTCCGTTACCGACCTGTTAAAAAGAGTCTTTTACGAAGTCTATACCTTCGAATACGTTAAATATCTTAAGCTAGCTACAAAAGGCTTTACAATAGTAATAATCCGTTTTAACTTGTGTCGATTCATCGAAGCCTTTTAAACCAACGCCTTTAACAACTTTATGCTTTACTCGAGCAATTAATCGATGTTCGCTATTAAGACTAAAAGCAATACTTTAGCTAAAAAAATATCTAGCTTAAGTTTTTTTAAGTTCAAAGCTAAACCGATATCCTTTAACAAGCTGAACTAAAGCACTAGCTTAATGGGCACCGCTTAAAAGAACAGCTTCTTTAACATTATAAATACGAGTAGCTATACGAAAGTTTAGCTTATATTAAGAGCTTCCTTTTTAAACGATAAGCACGGCAATTAAACCTTCTTTACTATTATAAATAAAAAGATCTAGATGTACCTCTACTACTTTCGGACCAATGACTCAAGAAGAGCTCCGACTAATGCACTTTCTAACATAGTGCACTTCTTAACCCAGCAAGTCTTCCGAAGCTATTATAAGCTATACCTTGCTGCTTTGCTTAATCGCCGAAACGAGAACTACAAGCTTATCGCTTACTCGGAACCCTTTCAGCTCTTTAAATGCAATAATAATGCTCGAGTGATTGCGACTAAACACGACGCTAATATTAAACGACTCGTAAACCGTGGTTCACGAGTAAAAAATAGAGTTTTAAACTATTACTTAGTGCTTTACGGCGTAAAGAATTAAATCGGAAGCTTAGCTATTTAACTCAAGAGCTACACTTACGACACTACCCTTAAAAAGACCGTTAAATAAAAAGCTTTTAAATTTAAGTCGAAGACTTTAAATGCTTTCAAGAACATTGCGCTTCGTTAACCTTTCGTTATAGTTAATAATCTCGCTATTCTTATGTCCGTCATCACGAAACAAAGTGTTTTCTTAAACATAAACGCTTTTTAAGATTCTTTTTACGGATAAGCTATCTTCTTTAACAATTATACCGCTTTGCTAAACGATAGCACCTTAGAAAATAAAGTCAGCTTTGTAAAGCACGCTTGCATCATCGTCTTAAGACGTATACCGCTAACCTTTCGGTAAAGAATTATTAATAAATCAAGCTAGCCTTTCGCCGCTATAATCTAATTAAACTACGTCAGTTTCGTATTAAAAGCTTTAATCGGAAGAATAGACTAAAACGAACCTCGAGTAATAAAAGAATTGACCGCTATCTTTACTATATCTCGGACCTAGTTTTAAAAACACTTTATTAAGCATAAAAAGAAGTTGTTTTCGGCATTTAAAAAAGGATTTGCTATCGTCTTAAATACTAAAGCTAAGACTTACGGAGCCAAGTCTTTTTTTAAAAGCAAGAGCCGCCGAGCTAACGACCTTATAAACGCCGACAAGTTAAAGGATTTTAAAAAAAGCTTACGACCGATTGAATTGTTTTTTAACGACTTCGATTTAAGTATAAAGATCACTTTAAAAAGTGCGAAATCTACTCGTAAACTACGGTTCACGAGCTAAATCGGCAACTTTAAAAGATCCTTTTCTTAGCCGGAATCTTTAAACCGCGCATTCGATAAAGCTATAAAAGCCTTAGATAACTTGCTCGAAAACGAAAACGACTTAACTAATAGCTCCGGACTTTATTTTAACTTCGCTAACCCTTTATCAACCAAGTTCAGACTTATTAACGATGCTATTAATAAGCGCAAGAACGATACGCGCTCCTTCACTTTTAAAGATGCTGCTGCTAGCACGTCATCGTTTAATACTAGTTCTGCTAAAAGGAAAAGACTCTTTCAGCTTAAAGAGAACGAAAGAATTAAGAACGTAAGCACGGAAAGAGACTATAAGAAAGCTGCCAAAGCGTAGTTTAGATATTTAAATGTTTAAAGTTTAAAAACAAGATACCTTTTCTTTTTTATATATTAGATTTTTCTTTCTTTTACACTTTCTTTTTTTTTCTTCTTTGCTTAATAATAAGCGAGGGCGCTTATTTATTTTATAAAAGGACGGATGTAAACACCTTGCTTAATAAAGTACCTGCTATAACTACTAAGGCCACACTAGACGGACCCATCTTTTATAAAAAGGCACACATCTCCTAACTAAAACAATCAACGAGCTTTCCACTTTCCTTTTCTGACACTTCTTTTGTAAGACTATAAAGTCTAGCCTTAGAGCCAGGCTTCTGTACAGTACATCTTTTGGGTGCTTCTACAATACGGTAAAGAGTTTAAGGACGGAGCTCTTATAAAGCTAAATAATTTAGAAAAAAAGAATTATTAAAAAGTGATTCTCGAGAGCGAAGTTAAATCAAAACTTATACCTTTTAAGTAAATGTTTATATACAAGACTAGCTCGTCCGAGAAGATCGTAAAGTTTAAATCGAAGATTATAATTAAAAGCGACCTTTAAGACGAATTTATTATTTATTCAACTTACGCTGTTACGCTAATAGCTAGATCGTTTAAGATAATAATAGTTATAGCAATCGAATTTGATTTGAAAGTAAAACAATTCGACGTCGTTAACGCTTTTATCAACGCTATAAGACATACGGATAGCGTTTTAATTACGTGTTATCTCTTTAACGGTTTTAAGCAAAAAGGTATGCTCGTAGAAGTCGATAAAGCTTTATATAAACTTAAAGACTCGCTAGCTTTATAGTATTTCGACTTTACAAGTATACTCGACAAATTAAAGCTTATTTTACTCGGTAAAGAACCGTATATTTTTACGAATTTAAACAAAACGGTCTTTATAGCGTTTTACGTAAACGATATTTAAGTCATATACTATCACTTTAATCTTTTTAAAGCGCAAGAGATCATTAACGGTCTTAATAAAGCGTACGAGATCGAAGCGATAAAAGATATTAAATAGTTTCTTAATATAAGAGTCGCTCGAAACCGTTAACGAAGAACGCTAACGTTTATACACGACGCTTATATTAAAAAAATAGCTAAGAAATTCGAACTCACGGACGGACGTTGCTTAGCAACTTTATTACCGTTTTATAACTTAGTTAAAAATAAAAAGATAGCTTCGCGGAAGCAAGTAAAAGAGTATTAAAAGAAAGTTAAATCCGTGCTATATATAGCGATCATACTACGCTTAGATATAGCTTTTATAGCTTTTCAACTCTTTCACTTTAGCACTAATCTAAGCGCGGAGCACTTCCGAGCTGTAAACTAGTATTTGCGATATTTATTTAGCTCGCGCTTCAAAGGTATTCAATATAGCTAATTTAGCAAATCAAAGCTAGTAATAGCCTTTGACGCTTTTTACGCCGATAACGAAGAAACAAAGCGATCTTTTTAAAAGTACATTATGTTTTTGTTCGAAGGTGCGATCCTTTAGAAAGCTTTAAAGCAAGATATAATCACTACATCATCTATTGAAGCGGAGCTCCTTAGCATGGCCTTTATAGTAAAAGAGACTATAGCGCTTTAACGATTTTTCAAAGAGCTGCACCTTCGTTTTACGGCGCTTTGGGTGGTTTATTGTAATAATTAATAAACAATCAAGCTTATAGCTAATGAAAAAAAGCGTATTTTTATTAAGCTTCGCTACGTCGATATTCATAATATATAGCTGCGCTAAGAGCACTTAAAAAGAAGCTTTCAAGTTCAATATCTCTTTACTAAAGAGATGCACGCTAACGGTCTTATAAAGAACTTAACTCGATAAAAGTTTAAAAGCTTTATCAAGCTTTTAAATTTACAAGACGCTCGCGCGTTAGTCGAAAAGCTTTAATAGCACGCATGTGCTATTCACTTATTATATTTTATTTTTTTTATTTGCACGTGATTTAAAAGAAAACATTTATTTAGCAATCTTAACCGTTATTTTATCTTATCTTATACGCTTTTACTTTTCGCTTTTTATAACAAAAGATCTATTAAAGCTTTTAATAATCTTTTTACTTTAGCCCGGCGCTTCGCAAGAGTCATAGCAATAGCGGGCGCCGTCGCGAGAGCGGCAAGCGCAACGATTAGCGCAAAAAGAGCGACGATAATAAGTGCGACGAGAGCGACGGGAGCTGCGAAGGCGACGAGAATAGCGAAGGCGACGAAAGCAATAAAAGCGGCAAGCGCAAAAGCTGTTATAATAGCAGATTAAAGCCTTTGCATAAAGTCCGAAAGAAAATTCTAATTAAAAAGAGCTGCTTAAATTAGATTATTTCGTAAGTTAAAGAGCTTAACTTACGAAAAGATAATATGCTCGAAGCGCTTTGCGTCATCGGACTACGGTTTGCTACTACAAGACTATTCAATCTAACAAAAGCTACATTCAAATTAAAAGTCTTAAAAGCAAGAGCAAAACTTGTAAAGCTACCGGGACTACTTTTAAAACCTTTACTTTTACTCGCTAAACCGCCCGGACTATTAGCAGCACTTTTTAAAAAAGCAGTATCTAAAGCGAGCTGTTGTCGCATAGCATCTCGAAGACCTCGGCGAACTCTTTATGTAGCACTATTATCTTTAGCGCTTACGAAGTTATCGAAAGCGGTGTTAGCAGCGGCAGAAGCAGCGGTACAGTTGCTATAGCTACTTTTAGCATACCGGAGACAGCGTATAACGCTCGTATCGCAATTATAATAGTTTTTATTAGACTTCGATGTGATCTTACTATTAATGCACTTGATATACTTTAAGGCCTTAACGGTCGTTAGCATAAGCAAGCGTTTAATAAGAAGGTTTAAGAAAAGGGGCGAAGCTTCGGAGGTGAGAGTGCGTAGTATAGCCGCCGCAGCCGCCGCAGCTGTAGCAACAGTAATAGCTAAAGCAAAGAAAGGATTCTTTTAATAATTAACATAAATATATTAATCTATTAAGAGCATTTACTTTTAAACGGCCTCGGCCGCGCTTAACGATTCTATCAAATTAAGTTACTTGCTTAAGTAGCATTATATAGATAGATAAAAGTTAAGTGTTTGTTATAATAAAAAGGAACGCGCTTTTACTTATATAGTAACGCGATAAAGACGGCGCTAAAGACCTCCGCTACGTAATAAGACCGACTTAAAAAAGAATTACATTCTTAACTGATACTTAATTAATAATAACAACCGCTATTTGTTTATTTAAACTACGATAACAATCTCTTTTGTTTATATCGAGTTTAAAAAGCTTAATTACTTATTTTTTTTTCTTTTTTGTTTGCTTATAGCTTAGCAGCTACGCTGCTAACTTAAAGAGTATATTGTGCGGAACAAGTATGGTTCTACTTAAGCTATATATAACATGTTATATGACCTCGCTTAATAGCGCCCTTAGCACACTAGAGCTTTTAAGTATATATATATAGATCTTGACGAGCTTCTTAAATAAAATATACCAAGCTTCATTCAATCCATAGAATCTCTTCTTGATCTTAGTGCTGGTAAGCACTACAGTAATTACGGACGCTTTTGCTTAAAACTTAAAAGGATCGGTGCTTTTATTATTTTAAAAAAGCAAAGAAAGACTTAATTTAGATTTATCGTGCTAAACGTTCGTAAAACGAAATACGATAATATCTTAAAGAATCGATTTACTAGCGGACTTAAGACTTATAAACACTTGCTTTTTTATTAATAATTAATCTAATAGCTAGCTTAGTATTAGCTCGATTAAAATGCTTAGCAACTAACTAACTAGCTAAAAAAGCTTACTATTATCTTTAAAAGACTAGTCGATACTAAAAATATTAATGTTGTAAGATAGATTAATACGCTTAGCCACTTATTTAATATAAAAGTCGTCTCGGTCGAAATCAACGCCGCCGCAAAAGATAAAGTTAAAAAGTCTTTCCCGCTTTCGGAAAGATTTAAGCTTATTAAGATTAAAAAGAATATCCGATAATAAAAAGAAAAGAACTACGGCACTCTTAAGGCCCGTGCTTTTTAAAAATCGAATACTATTATAAAGATAAATTTAAAAAATAAGTTGTTCGATAATATAATTAAAAAAAAGTCTTTTAGACTTTTTAAATTAGCTAAAACCGACGAAGTTATAAAAGATCTAGAAAGAAAGGTTAAGATTATTTAACGAGTATTAAAAAGAAAGAAAAAGAAGACTTATAAACGAAAGAAGTTTATTGATCTTTACGTTATTATTAAAGCTTAAGAAAAAGCAATAATAGCGATTATAAAATCGAAAATCGAAATTTAAATTAAAAACTTATTCGGACTTAACTTTCGCTTCGACAAGTTATTAAGCTATTATATTCTAATAGTTCTTAATGCTAAGGAAAACGTAAAGGTCTTTTAAAGTAAGCTTATTTTTATAAACGCTTTAATTGTTAAACGTTTAAGTCGGAATAAAAAAAGCAAGCTAAACCTTTTAGCGACGCAAATTCGCAAATAACTTATCGCTCGCAATTGCTTTAAAGTAACGATAAAGACTTTAAAAGTTTTTATTAATATCGACGGTATAATTAAAAGCAGATCTTTTTTCGATAATAAATCTAAAGTCAACGTAATAAATAAAAAAGTAGCTAAGATAATTAAACTACTTATTATAACGGATCGAGCTTTAGTTTATATTATTATATTCGAAGATCTTTATAATTTTAATAAATAGATAAACGACGTCGAGGTTATTATTAGCGGAATTATTAATTACGTTAATTTTTTTATTATTAATAATAGCAATTACGAAGTTATCTTAAGCATGCTTTTCTTTTTAAAATCTTAACTCTTTTTTTCTTATTTCGATAATAATACGATAAAAACTTTTTTTTAAAACTACGATCGATTTACTTAAAAACAAATTATTATTGCAAAAGATAAATCGGATTTAATCGAAGACTCGAGAAACTAATAGCTAGTATATAAGCTAAGATAGATGCTAAGTTAAAAAGAAGCTTAAAAAGAAATTCTGTTTATAAACTATAATTTACGAATAGATCGGCATAAAAACAATAAAATTATAAAAAAATAATTCAACTTAATATTAAGCAAAGCTTATTAAAATCAAAAACATTAAAAATATTTGCAATTAAACTCGATAAATCGAAAAATTTTATATTTATTATTAATAACGATAAAGACTTTTTAAAAAAGAATATAATAAAAGTTAATACGATATATAAAAAGAAGGCGAAGAAAGTTAAACCGGTGGATTTAAAAGTATCGAATAAAAAGATATTTAAAAAGATCGACGATTAGTTTAAGCAAAATAAAAAAGCGAAACCTTTTAAGCTTAAAAAACCTTTTTCGAAATACTTTATTAATAAGTTTTTAAACTTAAAAGTTAAATCGAAATTAACGAAAAAACGATTCGAAGCACTTACGATTAGCTTTTAAGTCATTTCGGAAAAAAAAGAGCTGTTTTACTAATGCTTTTTAAATCGAAAGAAAGCGATAGCTTAAGATTTTACTTATCTTAGCCAAGTCCGAAAAGAAGTTATATTATCTTAAAAAATTAAAACAATGCTTTACGAAGCTTAATAAAAGAAAACGTTTATTATACCGAAAGCTTTATAAGAAATAATTATTTTTATACTAAAAAAACGATTAAAGCAAAAGGTCTTCGAATTATGCTAAAGCCTTTATCGAAATAAATAATTTATTATAATAAAAAAAGAAAAAAGAAAATACAAGCTAATCATTGCCGTAATTAAAATAAATTGTATTACGATTAAAAACGCTAATATTGCTTCGAACGTAAATTAATTTTCAAACGAATTTGCTAGTTTTACGATAGCTATACTTTTAAATTTCTTTTTTAAATACAATTAATTCTTTTTCGACGTTAAGTCTAAAAATATAACAGTTATTTAAACGCTTATTAAATTGCTTCAAATGATTCGGATACTTATAAATATTATTAATTCGATCGCTTAATTCGTTAAGGTTATTTATAAGATCTTTATAAACTGCATTTTTAACGTCTGCTTGCTTTATATAAATAACGTAAGAGTTAAAAGATCGCGATCTTTTTATAATTACGAAGAAGTTTTGCTCGAAATACGACGATTCGTTTTAAAATATATTTAAAATATTGATAAAGTGCTTATAAAATTTAAAAGAATTAAAGCGATCGTCGGAATTAAATCTTAATATTATATGCTCGGCTTTAATATCGTTATATTCGTTATAGATAGCGAAAAACGCTACTTTTAAACCGTTAAAATTAAAAAGATATTAAAATAAATTAAATGCGAAAATGTATCGGAAGCCCGAGCTTTTATTAAGATCGTGATTTATTATAAAATCTAGATCAAAAACTTTTTTATAATTATTACTTTAATTTACGCGACGATAAAAAAAAAGGTCGAATTCGAGTGATTAAAGCTTTAATAAAAAGCAATAAAGCTGCTTAAAGAAGCTTTGCTTTTTGCTTTCGCTTTTATTAAGATCGATTATAATAAAAAAAAAGGAAAATCTATTTAACGGTAAACGCTAATCTTAAAAAATAAAGAGTAATATTACAGCAAAAGGACTCCGATAAAAAGCGATATCTTATTAAATTCGAGAATAGTTTTTAAAACCTTGCGGAAAGTAAATATAACGCAATTAAGCGAAAATACCGCGGTGCTTTAAAAGTTATAAAAAAGATAAAAAGCGAATTATACAAGGTTTATTTTATCTTAAAAACCGACGTTAAAATACTAATTAATCAATTCAACGGATTAGCGAACGATTTACTTAAAGCTTTCGTTACGAATTAAATTACGTAAATAAGATTAATAAACTTTAAAGTCAAGCATATCTTTAAGATTAAAAATACGGCGGCGAACGGTTTTTTTAAAAAAAGAAAAGAGCATTTTTTAAATATTAAAAAGAAAAAGGAAAAAAATATTAACGATTAAGTTATTAACGAGCTAAGCATTATTTTAGTATTCTCGATTAAACGATTCGTGAACTATAGTTTACGAATTAAAAAAAAAGTTTTAAAGCACGATTACTCGCTCGAATTTAAGCTTATTATTTAATTTTTTACTACTTTTAAATGCTTTCTTTCGATTAAGACTAACGACTTTTAAAAGTTTAAAAACAAAGCATTTAATTACTTGGTTAAAAATAATTACTTTTATAAGCGAGCAAATAATTCTTATTCGATTAAGCTAATTATCGACGGAACTTAAAGACGCTACGCTATTATTTCCGACGCTTATCGAAAATCAAGATATAAAAAAGTCGAATTAACTTATTATCGTACGTTAAAACTCTTTTTTTAAAATAAATACTACGAAAACTGCAAAGCTTTCGTTTAAAGCTATAAGCCTTATTAAAAACGCAAAGCTAGACGAACAGAAAACCTTTTGTATTCGATTTAGCTTATTTAAATATAATTAAAAGTCAACTTAAACGTATTACGAATACTTATTATCGATAAAAAGATGATTTGCTTCGTATTAGCTAAAGAAAACTTGTTTAAATAGCTAGAAAAACGACTACTTCGATCGGCTAACGCCGAATCTATTATTAAATTCTTTTAAAAAAATATCGTTTGCCGTTATAAACTATTCGAAAGATTGATTATCGATAAAAGACTCGAGAATAAAGCAATTGCTAAAGCTTTCGCTATTAAGTACGGGATCAAAAGGGTTTAAATCTCGAACTATAATTCGAAAGCTAATAAAATAATTAAAAAAAGATATAAAAACATCTTAGATAGCTTATCGAAAATTATAAATAAAAGATTTAAAAATTAAGTTCGCAAATTTAATAAAATGCTCTTTACGGTCCGGACATCGATATACGCATTTATTAAAGTTATCTCTTTTTTTTTAAATTACGGACGAAAAGCTAAGCTATTTTTAAAATCACGATAGCTAGTTTAAAAGTTATTACTTTAACAAAAGGTTCGATCTTGCGCTAACTTGCTTATTATAAAGTTTAAATAATTAAAACTCTGAAACGAAGATATCGACGAGATCATCTTAAAGAAAAAACGCTATCGACTTGCCGCTAAAGCCA